AATTAGCCAGAAACTCAACAGAGTATGCAGACTCTTTCAGGATTTATTTTCCCCAAGTAAGACTTGGTATTCCCATCCTGCCTCAAGCTAAGGTGTTGAGGGCTTTTTGGATTGGGAATGGGTGGGGATGGTAACAGCATCATCCCTGCACATATGTACGTATCTTGAAAACAGAGAATCTAGCTACAAAATTCAAAAGTTACTAAGTTCCACTTAAGATCCACTTTAAAACCTTTTCTTCTCTCCTTCTTCTCTGCTCCTTACAAAGTAATGTATTCCTGATATTTTATTAACAGTGCTCTAAGAAGAAACTGGTTTCTGCTCCCGAGTGCTGTGTGAGATGATGGATGAGTTCACAACACCTGTTACTGCTGCATACGTGGAAGTAATTTCCCCCTGCCTGTTTGAAAGAAATCTGTTCTTTTCTCACCAAGTCAAACACTCTGCTCCTATTTCTAGCAAATATATCCTAGATAAGCTTTGAAAAGATTCCATGAGTAACTAATTAGTATAATTTATCTTTGTACACCAATGTTAGATTATTGAAGAAAAGGAGATATAAAAGAAATCAAAATTCAACCTACTTACATAGATAGGCAGATAAACTTGACTAGATAGCTCTTCTCCCACCAAGAAGTAGTTTTATTTCCCCAGCACAGGGAGCTAGCACTAAATCTGTGTCCCACAAAAGCTCATGCTATTCCTTCTGTTAAGGACTCTGATCCACAAGTGTGCTTCCTTTTGCACAGAACTGAGATTTCCTCCTGGCCAGTCCTGAAGGTTTTCTGATTGCTCATTTAGCCTAAGAAAGTACTTACAAATGTCTGTATTTACCTCCCCTTCTAGATGTTAATTTATTAGCAGAAATGTTCATTGAAACAAATTTTTGGAAGTAATTATTAGGGAGAAGTCACAAGAAGCAATTTTACACTTCCTACAATACACTATTAATCTCCAAATATGGTTTCTATTAAATTGTGTTCATCCAAACAGAGAACAGAAACATATGAGAGACTTAAATATTCTGATTAATCAGGAAAAAAAATTTGCATTTTGAACACCCACAAAGAATTCACCATGCTTCTGCTCACCAGAGTTGCACCTGAATATGCTGAAAATCACAAGGGAGGAGTAGCATATGCTGAAATGTAATTTAATGCCATTACATTCTATTACTGAGGTGATAAACATAACATGTAAAACATATATATGTAAGAAAACAAAACAGGAAATTTAATAGTGGAGTCATACTGTAAGACTGAACAGGAATTGAGAATCAGCTGATGGGAATAACTTGATTAGAACTTTACATTTCAGTATTATAATTACTTCACTGAAAAAAAAAAACCAAAAGGTGAAGATCACCAGATATATCAGATTCTCCTAATTTATTTTACAGAACTGCTGGCGAAAAGGCATAAAGCCGTATTTTTAATGCCTTAGTTTTGCATATGTAAAATAATATAAAATTCATGAAGGTGGAGAAAATACACTGAAGCATCCAAAAGAATTTTAAATGCCTGTGGTAGATCAGGAGGAATACTGGAATGACTGAAATGAAGAGAAGTTTTAAAAGTGATTTTCAGATCAAAGAACAGAGTTTACAAATCTTTTTCCACCTAAGCAAATCACCAGCTGAAACTGACTGGACTGGTCTCAGGACCAGACAACTCATGCCGGGTAGGCACCACGCCAGGATCAATGCCACATTTGCCCTGGACTTTCAGTAGAATGAGGATCATGTCCTTCATTTAATGTGTTGTGCTGAACACTCACCTTTTCTGAGATCTATTGACAATAAAGCCAACAATAGCCTGCAATGGCATAGGAAGACAACAAGGAACATCCTAGATGCAGCAGAGCGACATCCAAAATGTTACAGGAAAATTACAAAATCCTGACTGACCTCACTAAATTTACACCAACATATACAAGTTGGGGAATAAAACTCTTTGAAAAGGTCACTGTTCATCAGTCCATTTCCAGAGATTGTTTCTTAACATTCTTACATGCCCAAAAGAAATGCCATTTGTGAAAATGCTCATACAAGAGCTCCTTCTGACTCCGTTTTTGTGGTAAATGGTTGCAAAATAATTTGATGCGCAAGAGTCAAATGAGAGATTGTTGCCAAGCTTTTGAAATCAAGTTCACTTTCTTTGAGGGACATTCGTCTGAGAGACAAACAAGGGACTATTTCATCATACAAGAACTGGCAACAACAAAAAAAAAGACACTAAATGTTTTTCAATCAATTCTCTTCCTAAAAGACCTGAGACAGAAAAGCATTCATGAAATAATAAAAATACCTTTCAAAAGCCTTGTCTCACTCTCTCAAGGTGAAAATAAAAAGAAGGTGGTGGGGAACACTGAAAACCACTGAGATACAAAATTACTTTCTGTTGCTTCAACCACAATTAGGAAAACCTGCTCTGAGTCAGGTCAGTGGCTGCTTCGCCGGGGCCTTCCACGTGAGAAGCCACAGTTCACGGCAGGTGAGTTGGAACTAAATGATCTTAAGGTCCTTTCCAACCCTAACCATTCTATGATTCTATGATTTGAAGCAAAGTGTTAAGCCATAAATGCTAGTACTTAGCTTCAGTGGTACAACCTGCATGCCTCATTATGTACTTTTTTCAGCTGGGGCCCAAGCATATCGCTGCTAGACCTATCAAGCTGTTGGGTTGAACACAGGCTGATACAGGTTGTCCTGGAGTTTCCCTATGGTTTCTTTTCCCACAGTGGACTAGGTGTAAAAAAAAGGCAAAGAAAGTCTGTCTAGTTATGCACCTGGCATATATTCCTCTATCCATGGAGACAAAGTATCAGAAAGGAAAAAAAGAACATTCTTCAGTGACCCTGACATTTGATACTGATGCAAAAAAAAGGAAAGGAATGACAGCGCTTGAAGCCAAAAGCATGAAGTTTCTTTATATTTCCTATGATATAATATCTCTCTCCCCCCACAAACAGCAGATTCCTTTATAGAGACTCTCGTATATGGGCCAACAGTGCTCCAGCAATTCTCTGATGACATAGTGGAAAGTTTCTAACCGCAGTATCATTCACAGCATTTCTTGTTTATTTTATCCCCAGTCCCCAAAGGCATGCTTTTTCTGATGGAAAAAAAAAAATATTGTTTTCATTATTTATGAATGGAATTGAAAATCTATTTGATGAACAAATGAATTAGAATAGACAGACAAACAAATTCAGGTTTGTATGAAATGTGCTGTAAAAGCTGGCTTCCAGGTTCACTCAGTCTAACCAGATATAAAATATCAGTGACCCTGGAAAAACACTCATAGTATCTATTTAATCAGACTTGTAAATTAATTTCTTTTCCTGTAATAAACAGGAAGATACAGTAACATAGCATGTTTTGCCTTTAAGGCATTTCATATGCATTGCAAGCCTATAATATTTGCATCATGGCTGTGAGATAGCTTGGTACAGTTTGCTCACTTTACAAGTATAAAAAGATGAGAGAAACCTGATTTCTGGAAGGTTTTTACAAATTCTAGGATTTCACTTGCTGCATGTACCCTAGACAAAATGAGTATTCACGACTGTGACTTACTAGTTGGGTGAACAAATGTCTGATTTATACACTCCAGAATATTAAATAACACATACAAAATGCATGTGCAGTTGTTTAATTAGAATTTGGAAAACCAGGCCTTACCTCTACAGCCTGCCACCCTTGCTACGAGGTGCTCTACTGAGGGACAGTACTGCACAGACCAAGTGATAATTCGGGGGCCTACCTGCAAGGCCAAACCGCTGCAGAGTTTGCCACATCAGCCCCATTTTCAGAGCAGCTCTCTAGCTCTCATCCTAGCCAGGAAAAGCACGAAAAGCAGTTCAGTTTGAGCAGGAACTAACCTGTCTGCCACTTGATCATCAAAGTATAACCATCATGACAAAATATATAAAAGAGCATATGCTGCTTTACAGCCCTCTGCAAATTTGAGGAGAAAAAAACTCCCACTGACTTCAAGAGGCTTCAGATCTAGCCCACAGTGGAATAACTTCACTCCATTTTTCAAGAGACTTGAAATATCAAATATCATCTGATTATTCAGGCTTGAGTCTGCTCTCACAAAGTGTATGCAGAATTAATCTACTGGGCTACAGATGCAAAGACTGCCAGAGTCACTGCCACGCAAGGAAAAGCCACACTGCACTCATGGTGACGTGCAGTGCAGTATCACCCAGGGAGCTGTTATGCTCTTGCATTTCCTCTGAAAGCAGAACCTGGCCCACTCACAGATGAGCTGAAAAATCATCCAGTCATCTACACAACTGCCCACTTTTGTAATAATTGTTTACAGCAACACCTTCACCCATTTGACATGCTGTAAATTGGTATTGTGCCTCTCAGACTTAGAGGTGAGCACAAGACTATGTATCACAGTCCTGGGATATCAATGTTTAACCGTACTATAAAGCTTGTTACTGAGAAAGTAGTGTACGCTTTCAGCTGAATGGCTACAACCTGGAGCTAGTCTACAGCTTGAGGACTGGGGCAATAAAATGGTTTTGTCTAACAAACCACCAACAGAGATTTGCTGGTGCTGTTACTCAGAGTGTAAAACCCCAAGCGCATTCAGGACCCTCCTTTAAGGAATTAACTCTTGCTTGTTTTGCTATCCAAAGAGTGTTTACAGAAGCCAAAACAACCATGCTTGCTGTCCACTGTGCAAAGAGGTGATGACATCAAGAAGACAGGTCACAAGTCTGAGTTTATAGTCATTACACTTGCATTGGTATGGCTTTTCATCCACTCAGTATGATCTTATGACCCCACAACTTTACAACCTTCCACTCTCTAGGCTTCATAGCACCTCACCACTCTAGGTTAATCATTTCTCTGCCATTATCTGCCAAGTATTCTTATCTCTTTTCCTGTCACTTTATAACAGGGTCCTCTTATCAAGCTGTACAAAATCACGTGACAGTTTCAAACCTATCACAAGTTCCAATTCTTCTGATTAGAGACTATCATGAAATGGGATACACAGTTTACAGCAGGTCACTAATGCTGGAAAAAGTACAGAGTCCACTCAGAGGCATGCTTGTTACTTTCTGAATTCTTGGATATTTTTTGTTGTTGTTGCTCATCGTGCTGACTTTCACTGAAGGTTATTATAGCCTGGGCCTCAAGGCCAGAAAAGCTTACAGGCTGCACCTCTTTTGTACTAAATGCTGTTCACCTTGCACCCAAGGGTACTGTATATTTACACCTAATAATGTCTTCTGGTTCCCACACAGCCATCATACAGGAATCTATAAAACATGGACTTACATCAGTTGGTAAGTAACAGTTTTCTGTTTTGAAGACTCTGCATAAATACGTTAAACTTTGGTCTGTCCAAACTGAAAAACTCATTACAATTGGGCAAGCCAACAAAACTGATTAATCTGTACACGTGTTCAGGTGAAAAAGAACTGTATGATACAACATAAAAATGTAAGAAAACATAGGATGATTCAATGAATAACAATTTTCTCCAGAGATAATATGATTATCAAATACATACTCAGATAACTAATGGTATCTTTATCTATTACAATTGCTCATAACTGTGAAATTGTGCATGTGTGAGTGTATAAACGCTTGCAAAAAATAGATTTAAATTGCCTCTGGCCTGGCTATTCTTGCTGAAGAAAACCTCGGGAATGTTTTGGGGTCTTTTCTCTGATACACATGTCAAACACAGATTATTTTTTTATAGCTGGAAATGCAGATATACCATCATTCACTGGGGGCGGGTTGGATAATAAAAGTTGGTTAAGGCTTCAGAGCAGTGAGGAAGTGAATACTTTCAGTAGCATACAGGAACAGCACCCGCTCCCCACTGGAAAGCCAGGAGGCTTGGGCTGCTCTGGCTTGCAGGCACTAGAGGCATTGTCCAGCAGCTGCCCCAGGCTGTCAGGACTGCAGTGGCTGTGCAGAGCACAACGAGTGCCTGCCTCCGTTGCCTCCCTGCCCTTCTCCTCACATTTCCTATCTCATCTTATTCTGCTTCTCACCAGACATCGGGAGTGAGGCACCTTTCCTTTGGCAGGGCAATAGCATCCCCTGCCTCATCAGCCTGTACCCAGGCTGGGGCTGGGGAAGGCTTGCTAAGGGAAACCTCACCTTCACAGAGTGGAAGGCTGTTCAGAGCTGCAGGTTCCACATCCTGTAGTTTTGCAAGGTTGTACCTCAGCACACAGTTTAGGATGAAAGAAGGGAGCTTTGGCTCATGTGTGGGAACCAGGACTCACTTTCCAACTCTGGTCCCTAAGCATGTCATCACACAGCAGGCAAGGCATTCACTGATGCCGGGTGTGATATGGGCACCTCACCACCAAGGGATGCTTTGAGACTGTAGGGATGAAAGGTGCAGCAACAGCTGCAGGAAGTAGATTCAAACATAGCTGAAAACTGCTCTTAATCTCCTGGGTGGAGCTGCTGCTTCTCCTGGGGAGGAAAAGGGTGCCCACTGGAAGGGGTCCTACCTTGGACCTGGCTGTGTCCCAGGCAGCTGGCCCCTAGGGATTCCCTTCTCAAGCTCTTCACCTGCTCTATACCTCCACCACAAGAAGGGTGCCCGGCACCATAATGAGGTTTGATGGATGCAAATGGATGGCTGAAGAATTAATGTCCCATGGATCACACCACTAGACCCAGAGCCACCTGCCTCCTGGCCAGCTGTACCTGGTGGTAGCCCCACTCTGGGAGGAGCTCTCCTTAGAGAGAGTCACAGGTCACTCCAGCAGTGTTGACAAGGTATCCACAACAGCCGGAGGGCACAGGGAGCTTCCAGGCTGTTGGACATGGATGTGACCAGGGTCAAGCCACACCTGAATCAGGAGAGCTGATCCCATCAAAGCCACAGAGAAGTCAAAGTCAGAGATCCTCTGGTGCTTATCTACAGACATGGGATACTCCTTTACGCAGCTCTGACCCCAGAAACATATGGAAAATGGGGGCAAGGACAGCTTCCCAGATGGGCCTTGCTCTCTTGGGCCTTGCTCTGACTTTCCCTTTTTCTGGCTAACAGGAAGGGAAAGGTACTGGAGAAGCCTCTGGTTCTCTGCTCTCAATTGGGTTAGTAAAATAATAATACATCTCAAATATCTGAAGAGTGGTCACTTAGATACGGTTTCTCAGAGTGAAAGGCTACAACACAAGGGGAAGGAAAAATATGACACTATCAACAAAGTAAGTGCCATTTTCATGGTTTCCAAAAGACTAGCAAGTCTGGGTTGCCTAAAACCTGTGGATATGAGAAACAGATTGGCAGAAGACACAGGTTAGCAGGCTGCTTCTGTAACTATACCTCCAAAATACACTTACACGTGTGCTGTATCATGGATATACCAGGACAGATGCACAAAGCATGGCACAGAACAAGGAGGTCTAAATCCTGTGAAACTCTCTAAAATCCTGTGTGCTCTGGGTCAGCGGAAGAATTCTGCCCTTGTGTGGCATACTCACAGCCCATGGTGGCATCCCTGAAAAGCACACCTAACTCTACATTTCAAACTGATCACCATACCTGTAGGGCTTAAACATAAACAGCACTACCCTGAGGGCCTCTGCTTGGAGGTGGGGGAACCAAATAGGAAGCTGGATTCTGTTCTTATTTACATTTGGAGAGCAATTCTTTGGAAGGAAAACCTGTCCTCCCAGGGTATGAGTACAATGAGCAGCAGGGCCAAGTGTTCTTAAGAGTAAATCCCATCCCTGGCTTTTCACTTCTGTGCAGTCCTTCCCAGCACCTCCTTTGCTTTTTCCTCTCTAGCAGGAGGCCAAGAAGGTGTGATTGTGAGCACCTGCTGCCACAGCCTCCACAGCCCTCACCCCACCTCAGGCCACTTGCTGTTGGAAGAGGTGCCCTTCTCAGGGAGTGCATGCTTTGCAAAGGTGCACCCAGTGCATTCACCCATATGGGGTTAAGCCAGGTTTTGGTATAAATCAGTGGTGTGTCACAGCAAGAATGACCTAGATTTCTCCCAGCAAAGAGGACCTCATTCAGGTCCCATGAATGCAGACAAGAATCCATGATTTAAATAGCAGTGAATCTGTCACTTGGAAATCAAATATAACCAGCCTGGATTTGGAGTGTGAGTGGGCACTCCATGTTGTTGATACTTGCTTTTGGGTTTACTCTCAGACAGTCAAAGAGGCATCTGGAAATCACAAAATCTTATTAGTACATCCTATTTCCAGATGAAGAACGTCGTATGGACTGATTAATATGTTTATGGATGTGCCATGATCTTTTTCTTCTATCACATTGCAGGGCAATACAAAGCTACTTGACTAGTTTCATTTTTCCTCTAATCAGCCCCTTAGTGTCATCAGGGACACTATGCAATTTTTATAAGCATTAGTTATGTTTATTTAACAAAAATAACTGTTTCATTAACATGAAAAAATAGTTATGTAAGAGGAAAAATAATCTACTTGTAGTTTCTTACTGTGAAATTTTTCAGCTTGTAAAATGCTTACTGCCATCTTAATTTTAATGTATGTCCTCAGGCAGTGTACAGTATTATAATCAGTGCTCTTCAGTTTGCCAAGGTTTGCTTTTACATGTTGTTATTATTATCATCATTATTATTATTACGCATATATAATGAAAGTTTGCATGATTAGCAAAGGCAGCAAATATTACCTTTTAAAGCAAATATTATCTTTTAAAGCTTGGATTAAGATCTTGGCCAGCAATGATGCAGGCAAACCTTCTACAGGAGTGAACGCTTTGGGCTGACTTTTTTGTAACAGTGAACTTTTGCTGTTATTCTTTAATCAATTTTCTTTCCATTAAATACTTTTCCCATCATTATACTGCCAATGAGCTCTCTACAAAGGGGCCGTATTCACATTCACCCCCTATTTTTTCCAGTTAGTCTGATTTTAAATATCCAGTGCATGAGGCAAAGTAACAATGACGATGCCTTTAGTCCCCAGAGGGAAACCTCCAATGCCGACAAAACGCCTCTAACCACTCGTCCGTGTGGGTAATTTAAAGGTCAGCTCTCAAACTTGTCTTTAAACAGGGTGAAAGGAAAGAATTATCTGCATCAAGAGCTGTGTTTGGCTGCATTGTGGGGAAAACCATTACAACTTCTCAAGCCAAATTGTTATTAGTGTCTAGAGTTTACTCACACATTACACGAGTACATTATACACGTTACCCAGATATGCAAGCTTATCTATTAATATATATGAATACAATGAACAGACATGCATATGTACGCAACCCTTATCAAGATTTCTCAGTATAAACTATGCCTAGTTTATATTCTCAGGGTTTGTTTTATGATTTTATGCTTATGTGTTGAGAAATGTTATATGAGATCTATATGTATATATGAGCTTAAACTTTTTCATGATAAAGATCAGCTATCAAATTATTTTTAAATAAAGTCTTCCAAGCTAAAAACATAATTATTAGAGGGAAGAGGAGGAAGCAGACCTAAAACATCTGGGTTTTTGTTGTTTTTTTTTTCCACCAACAGATCGTCAGTTGCCTCAGCGAAAAGAAAATTCATTTTTAAGCCTATCTGTACAGGATAGAGATCAATTAACTCTTACGATACAGACACTAGCCCTGAGCCCTGACAGGAGTCTTTCTTTAGATATAAATATATTAGTTCTCTTCCCAGGCCAAGCTCTAGGGTTTTTAATTATATGTTCCAAAAGGGCAGCGCAGGCAGAAACAAAAGAGCCTCATCAGAAGAGTAATAAACTGCCAGTGCTGGAGAGGGACTGTGGGTTCTCGGCCGAGGAGGGTAGAGCCGGTACCGCCCGCAGCGTCCCTTCGGCCCAGCCCCTCGGCGACCCCCGCTGGCAGCGCTGCCGGCCGCGCGCACCGCGGAGCACAGGGCGGAGCAGCGGCTCTGCGTCAGGGCAGGCGGCCGCGGAGCCTCTGCTTTCGCGTTCACCGCCTCGCCTCCCAGTAGGAAGGGGGAGCCGCCTCCCCCCGCGGCAGGCAGGAGCGATTGGAAGGAGCGCGTTTTCCCGTCGCATCGTTAGCGGCAACAGGTCCAAGCAGCGCAGGGCTAGAAGGAGTTTTCCCCGCGGAGCTCATGTAATTTAACGGGAAAACACACACACACATATCTAACAGAGTTCCTGCTTGCGAAACTGGATCTTAAGTGTCCTAGTGGGTAAAGGATAAAGGCTGCCGCGTGGAAAAGGCTGCGGCTCGCTGCTGATGCCATTGACCCGGGAGGTCCCCTCCCCTCGGGCTCCGGGCAGTGCTCACCGCCTCCCCCCGGGCGCACCTCCCCGCGGCCTCATCCCTTCCACGCCTTCCAGGTTGTTCAGTAACATCTCCGCCGAAAAGCTGCCTCCCCGAAGGGAGCAGTGACAGCCCTCCCTGCGCTCCCGTGTGCCGTCCCAGGCCCCGCGGTGCGCCCGGGGCACCGGGCGGGCCGAGGTGAAGCGTTACCACCCCACATCGGTGATTCCCTTAGCAGTAAACGAAAGGCAATCACGGCGGTGCTTTACCACCCACTTGGCCCGGCTCAGACCGCACTCCGGAGCCTCCTGTAATTTCGCACCACGCCGCTGCCAGGTGTTTGTAAGGCAGCAGCGCACACCGGCTTGCGGCAGCAGCTCGGCCGGGCGTGAAATACAGCTTCTCGGGCAATAATTGCCTGCTTGGAAATGGTTCTCCATGTTGGGCCAGAGAGGATCGACATCTCCGTAAGGCAAAGTGAATGATTCGCAGCAGAAAAAAAAGGCAATAAGCTTTGGAAAGCGATCCTCTGTGGCGGGTGTTCTACTACAGAAAGTATTTCAGCCTAAAGCACGCATTCTGATTCGCTGCCAGTGGATAAAAAAAAAAAAATAGAAAAGAAAAAAAATAGTATTTTTATGCTTGGGATTGATTAGATTGGGTTGGTTTTTTTTTTAGCTCTCTAGAGAGGCCAGTTTGCTTTCTAAAGCCTGAGCTGGAGGCACTAACAGCCTCCACTCAAAGTAATCCTTAGGAGTTAAAGCAGTATGTCCTCGGCACACTGATGAGAGGAGTCTGTTTGCTACAGGATTTGGAAGGTTTCGACGTACTCCCCCCTTCGTACTGTAGGGGTGAGCTGTTTATAACAAGGTTCGGGGGGGGGGGGAGAGAATATATGAGACGAAAGGGAGGAGAGAAGAGGAGGAAAGAAGATAAAATAAAAGTGATGGGGAAGTGGGGAGGGCAGAATAGAATAGAGCTTGTGTTGGATACACTTTTCCACAGTCTCGAAAAGTTGAGCGTGAGGTGCGCGAGGTGAAGCAGCAAACTCCGGTTACGAACTTTCCCCTCTGCCGAGGGGTCCCGTCCCTGCTGCGCTGCTCCACGACATTGCCCGGAGCAGCCCCGCTCCGTGCCCGCCTGTGCCCGGGGGTGTGCTCGGGGCCATGCCGCTGCGCTGGGGCAAGCTGCGTGGCGCGGACTCCCCCTCCGCGCTCGGCTGCAGGCACCGTTTTCAGTGAGCGATTGATCAGAGCAGTTCTGGGCTGGCGGCAAATGGGAATGCCCAGCGGGAGAGGAAGCGGGGGCAGGATGCGGCATTCTCTCCTCCTTAAATACTTCCCTCCAGGTCTTTTTGAGCGGCTCTGGATTTAGACTTCCCAGCAGAAAAGTTACAGCCCTCCATAGTTCTCCAGTTTGCTTATGTGGAGTCTGTCTTGAACGTTCCCCCCAAAATTTCTCTTTCTCTAGTTTGCAGGGAAGATAAATCAGACTTTCTCCGACGCAAAGTTAGAAGGGAGCGTGCTATTTGTTGCTCATGGAGCAGACCCTCCAAGTCGGAAATGTCTCTGCTTAGGAAAAAAGGCTTTGAATTTTGCCCAGGCTCTTTGGTCTCATTGAAACTGTAAGAAATTGGAGCTTGCTTGAAATACCATCACTCAGATCCCTACCTTGAAAACAAAGAGGTGGAAGAAGCTTCAGATTATTTAAAATTAGGCAGTGGGGTTTTTAATGTAAATCTGCATACACTTAAACAGGGAAGTATAACATATTCCAGGTCTTGCTCCTTGTACTAATCAAGGCTGCCGGAGGCTCCCCGAGCCATCATGTTTTATAATTATAATTACACGCGTCAATCAAGACCTTCAGGCAAAGTCAGAACAAGGCAGGCAAACTCAGTAGAGAAATCACATTGGAAAAAAAGTCTGGAGAACTTAGTAAGGAGCCGAGAAGAGATTAGAAGAAAGGGTAATTAAGGTTGCTCAAGGCAATCGTGAGAGCTAGAACTTCATGTTAAATTAAATGTAGCCACAAGGGACCAGGTATCATTTATAATACGTACTGCCCTAAACTGTTACTTCGGAGAAATGTGGATGTGTAATAGCCACTCCAAAGTATGTTCATCCATAGCGATAGCTCGCGGAGTGGCTTTGCGATGCACAGTTTGAATTCTTTCCAAACTCTTCCCCGGCGGAATGCCATTAAGCCCACGAATAGGAGCGAAGAGCCCCAGGAGCAATGCGAGGGCCGTGCCCGAGGGGGAGTGCTGGCCGAGAAAGCCACCCCGGCCCGGGCCCACCCGGCTCCGACTGCGCTCGGACGGTTTTCGCCTGCCCTGTCCGGAAGCGGGCTTTCCTTCCCCGGCTTTCCCCTATAACGCGGGTGCCTTTCCCGAAGCAGCACGAAAGAGCGCGGCGGCACGGAGCGCCCCGGTGGGGCGTCGTCAAACGGCGTGACCCACAGAGTGGCGAGCGGGAGGGAAGGGATCGGCTCCTGCCCCGCAGCAGCCCAGCGGGCTGCAGGACCCAGGTTTGGCGGTGTCCTGCAGATGTGTATTAAACTTCGATGGTCTGCAGTAAATGTGCTCTGACAACGCCTCTCCTGCGGGGCAGGGCTGTTAGAAGGCGAAGCTCCTCTGTGAGCTGCCCCCCGCGTCCTCTGGCCACCCACCGGGCCAGCAGTATGCAGAAGCGGCCGGCCACAGGCCTCGCGGCCCTGACTGACTCCTGGCGGAGCCCGGAGGAGCGGAGCCGCCGCTGTGCTACGAGCGCCGCTGGTGCTGAGCCATCCGGGCTCGGCTCAGGGCGATGCTACACGGCGACGTCTGGGAAAGGGGTTGCTTTTAACTGGTGTATCTGGAACCAACTTCCCAAGGGCTGAGAGATACTTCTGCCTAGAAACGAGGCCATTCCCTTGGGATGGTTCTCAGCCACCCGCCTTGGCCATCGATCTGGCCGCTCCCGCAGCTCGCCATGGTGCTGTCCTAAAATTTATTCGTAGGCGAACTGCTAAATGTGAGATCATAACTTGAGAAATGTGTTGATACAGATTGAGTTCACCTGCTTGCCCTCCCGCTAGAAGGGGAATGGGGAAAAGGTGGGAATGGAAGGAGCCCGAGAGGTCCAAGCCTTTCTACACGTTGGGTCCATACCCAGAGTAGCAAAGCCTGCACAGAGAAGGAGATACACTTTCTGTTCCAGCGGTACTGGTGGTGAGTTGGCTCGGGATCTGCACTGAACTAAGCAAAGGTCCCTTCTTCCATTTACTGGATGTGAAAAGTTTGAAGTTCTATGAAAGAGCACGGTGGAGCCGGCTCTCTGCAGGTGGAGGGCTTGTCCCACGGCTGGTCACCTCGTCAGAGGTGTTTAATAGGTTACAAGTGTCCGTTTTCACAAACTTTCTCCCAGCCGATGGGAAACGCTACACCCTGCGATGGAGGTAGTTCTGCGCCTCACTTTCAATCGGAAGCAATTTTCAACGCCAAATATTTTCAGCTCTTAATATACACAACGAAGACTGAAGTGTCAGAGGGGTACGGGCAGCCCGGGCGTGGAGCTCGGATGCCTTCAAAGGTGCAAATGCCACTCATCCCACACCACCGAACCTGCGCGCCGTAACGGGAGCGCAGCGGAGCCCCCGGCCGCCCTCGGCGCAGGAAGGGCAGCGGGGCCGGACAGACCCCCTGCCCCGGCCTGGCTCGCAGAGCAACTCGCCCCCCCCCCGGCCGGCCCACGCCGCACAGGGCCTCGGGGCGGCCGGCTGTCACCGCTGAGGCACCCGCTTGCTAGAAACGACTTATTTGGGACAACTTGGAAACAAGTGCCGCTAGCTGCGCCGTGAGCCGGGAAAGGACGGCTCTTACCCAAGCAGAGGCTCTGCCAGGGCACTGGCTTTTGTGCAAACAATGCAACTGACACAGATTTCGCAAGTTTAGGGGAGGGAAACCCAAACTACCAGAACAGGTACAAGGAGCTCCAGCCCGCTTTTCTCAGGCTCCAGGACTGCGCGACGGCAACGTGGCCGCAAGGGCTGGAGTTCTCCAAGCGCTAGGGTTTCCGCTGTCTACCCCTGCCAGCTCGGAGGGAAGGAGAGGGCCGGTGTCTCCACAGCCGCCGCTGCTCGGACGGGGAGAATTGCTCCTCCGACCTCAAGGAAGCTGGAGCTCATCTGCCCTCATGCAGGGAAGAGCACCACGGGCTGGTGGTCCGTCGGGCTCCGCCGGGGAGAGGAGGGGCGGCTGCACCCCAGGCCCTCACCCCGCCCCCCGCTGTAACAACCGGGCAGGGGTGTATGCGCTGGGCAAGTCTGCGTGATCCTGTGCATGTGTGGGGCGTGTGTGTGCGCGGAGGGTGTTGCTCATCCCGCCTCTGTCTTATTGGCTGCAAGGGTGGTGTGGGGCTCCCCCCTTCGCCAGAGCCCCCAGCACCCTGCAGCCCCCTGGCTCCTGGAGCGCCTCCCCGCGGGTGCGGGGCTAAAGGTCCCGACTCGGCACCACCGCACTTGTAGAGGGGGGAGGAGGAGGAGGAGGAGGAGGAGGAAGAAAGGGAGGAGGGGGTCGGGGGTGGGAACCCTGTCTAGCAGCACCAGCGGTGGCAGAGCGCTCCTGTGCACTGTGCCGCTCCACATGGATCGGGACGCCGGGCTGCCGCCGCGCTGAGCCCCGGCCAGAGTTGCTGCAGGCTCCCGGGGTTCCTCCTTCCTCCCCGGCACCCCCCGGTCTTCCTCCTCCTCCTGTCTTCTCCACCCCCGCCGCCTGCAGCCCGACTAACGCTCCGCGGCTCCTTCAGCCGCGGACACCCGGCTGCTGTTCCCGGTGGCCGGGGCCGCTCCGTGCTCCCGTTGTAGCAGGGCAAGGGCTGGCGTGGAGCAGAGGGAGGGAAGAGGAGGAGGAAGAGGCAGCGGCCGCAGTGCACCCCTTGCTCCAGCTAAATCTGTGCTGCCGTGTCCAGGTGCTGGTGTCGCGGACGGACACGGAGCCCCCAGCCCGGCCCGCAGCCGCCTTGTCATGCTGCCCAAAGTGGAGACGGAGGCCCTGGGACTCGCACGGTCGAATGGGGAACAGGGGCAGATGCCGGAAAACATGCAAGGTAAGGGGGGAAAGGCACGGCGTTCCCACTCCGAGCACTCTCGGGCTCCCTTCAGCAAAGCGCCCCTTCGTCCTGCCAAAAAAGTTTACGGCTGCTGCCTGCGAGCTTCCCCGCCGCCACCTCCGCCCTGCCCCGCGCCCAGTCGAGCCCCTCCTTTTGTGCGCCAACTTCCAGAGTGGCTCGGCCGGGCATCGGGGACCGGGACACCAGCGCCGAAGCTGTGGCAAGGCCCCGGCCGGGAGGTGCAATCGCGGCCGGGGAGCCGTCAAGTATCTGGCTGGCGGGAACAGACGGGTTACAGAAGCCCCGCCGGTCACTGCCCGTAGACACCGGCCCTGCTGTAGATCCGGGGGACTCGGTCTAGTCCCCGGTCATGGCAAAGCTGACTCGAAGTTTATGGCAGGGGGAGTTAAGCGGGAAACTCCTGCCGAGCACCTTCGTGTGCCACACACCTCCCGAAAGGGGTCTCGAGGGCTCTGTCCCGCGTGTGCGACGCCCGCAGGCAACATCACATGTGTCAGGGGCAGCGGAGACAAACTTGGCAGTAGACAGCTTTGGGTTCGCGCCCCTGCGGGGTCCTCGGTAAGACAGCGGGATGCCCGAGCTGGGATAGGGCTGGAAATGCCTCTGCGGGGCTGGACGGGGCTGTTCCCGGTGCCCTGCTCCGGGTCGCAGCGCTGCACCCTCTCCCAGGGCCGCCGCGGGGTGTCAGCTCCCTGCCTCGGAGCCGGCCGCCCGGTAAGCGGGCAGTGCCTGCCCCGCCCCGGGCCTCTCCCGGTGCAGAAATTCGCGTCCCCACTGCTCTTTCGAAACTGTCCTTCCTGGGAGTCTGCTGGGAAGCAGAGGTGGGGTGGGACGGCAGCTTCGGAGATGCTGGGGGTGGCCCGCCCACCCCTTTGCTCGCCGTGGAGGTGGCTCCGTACCAGGGCATGGCGCTCGGAAAACCCCTAATTTCCCACTTGGCTTTTCCTGCGAGGAGGGGGGAACTTTGTCCCAGGGCTGGGCCCTGGAGCCGCGGATGCGAGCAGAGGGGAGGGCTGGGCCCTCCTCCTCCGCCTGCGGTCTCCCCGAATCCGCCCTACGCCGCTGGAAAGCGGCGATCCCCGATCCCTGTCCGCACCGAGGTCGCTCTGGAAACGTTTTCCCGGCTGCCTGCTGGTGGATCAATGTTCCCCGCTTTTTCCGGCAGCTGTCCCGAGCGCCGGGGGCAGCCCCCTTACCCTTACGGAGTGGCGGCCGGTCCGGGGACTTTGGGCGGATTCTGACTGCCCCGGTGATCCCGAACGGCGGCAGCCGCGAGGTTACCGGCAAATAGGCGACATCCTAAGCGGTGCCGCTGAGATGCCCGGCGCCTCTGGCCTTGGCCAGGAGCCCTCCGTGCCTCTAGGCTTGCCGAGCAGATCGGAGGTTTTAACAGCAGGGAAGGGGTAGAAAACCGGCCCCGCGGTGAGCGTCGTGGTTTCTTTTTGGGAGTAACCAGAGAGCCTGACTGGGCTCTTTGTGGGGCAACCCGGCTCAAGTGACCGCGCTCTGTACCTTCATTCAGCTTATTTTACCTCCCCGCTCCCCCTGAAGGCCGGCTCCTCCCCGCCTTTTACCCGAGCGGCAGAAACTTCAGGCAGCCCTGGCGCGCACGTTCCGCCCTCCCCTGCTACCGGGGAACGCTGGCTGGGCAGCCCCGACCACATCCCCCGCGGCCGGTGACTCCGGCCAGCCACGTCTCTGCTGACCCGCGGAGAGCCGAAAAGCGTCTCCCCCGACGCCGCGGGAGCGGTGGCTGCGAACCCCGGGGACTCCGGCCACGGAGCCCTCACCATAGGCCCGGCAGCGGGAGAGCGAACTGCCTCCGAGGGCAGGTTGTCACCCCCAGACAACGAGTTTGCGGGCGCGGAGGGAGCTGCTTTAACCGGGTTTTGCAAGTAAGTAACTTGCATTTAACGGCGCGCAAAAGTGCTGGGTCTGTAAGATACAAGTCTAGGCTAAGTAAATATTTGCAGGCTGATGTTGAAAGAAAACTTTAAAGGAAACAAACTGAGTTACTTTAAATGCACAAGTGACAATCTTTTCGTTCTGCTTTTTTAAAGCTTCCCCCTGATAGTTTTCGGATTTAAATGAATTAATTTACTTGGCGATTCCATAAAGTACGGACTAGGCTAACAGCACTCAGTAAATATAAATATTTAGAACCTAAAATTGAAGAGCTGAGGGGTTTTGTTCCACTTGCTAAGTATGATGTAGATTTGCCGTTGATGAAAAGTTTCATGTCTCAATGCAAGCTATGTTTTTTAAAAATAAAACTTTTTTTTCCCTCCAATCTGAATTACTTTCTCTCTACGTGAGAACAGTTGCAGAAAATTTGAGCTATTAATGTAGATTCTAATTCAATGTGCTATTTCTCCTTTCCCCAGTGTCTCAGTTTAAAATGGTGAATTACTCTTATGATGAAGACCTTGAGGAACTGTGTCCGGTCTGTGGAGATAAAGTGTCTGGGTACCATTATGGACTTCTCACCTGTGAAAGCTGCAAGGTTCTGTACTGATTACTTCATATAAACACAAGTACAGCCCCCTGCCCCTACCCCCCCAAAAAAAAAATCCCTAACTTTCAAATATAAACAGAAAAAATGATAGTTAAATAAACCAGATGTGCAATAATTTGGGTTCTTTGATACTTTTTTGTTATATTCATACAAAAAATTAACCATGGAAAAGCTTTAGGACTTAGATCTTGAAGAAATCTCATCTGCACAGATAGAAACAACTTGGACTGTTATGCATTGTAGTTTTGTCATTGCTTTTCAGCATTTTGCTATTGTGAAGTGTAGTTCTACAACAACTTTCATTCCTACCTGTCCCAAATATGGATTTTATGTGATTTATATACATTCAGAGCATTTCTGTTCCTGGAGGGTAAAGTACAAAAAGCATCCTTTTCCTATAGCTTTGCCAAATCTAATGCAGATTTATAAACATTTTTTTTCATCCTTCAATGTTACAAAGTGCAATTCTGTGGCTATAATGACTATGCACTTTTTTTTCATGCAATCTGTAACTGTCAGAGCTCACTTGACACACAAAGTCAAGTAACTCATGATTTGGTTTAGATTGTTCATTAATTTTGAGAATTAAACATTTGTAAATGCAACTTATCATATTGGAAGATAAATATCTGCATGGTTCTATTATTCTAAAGCGTTTAAGTACTTATAATTTATGGCAGTTCAAATTTGTAATGTAAAATTTTTTCAAAGTTCTTTATGGGTATTGAAGCAATGCACTGTAAAGAAAACTCCTTCACCAAAATAATGCATTTAAAAGTACCTAGCTGCATGAAAAAATTAACTTTGCACATTTTATTTGCACTAAAAAATAATCAATGAGAAATGAACAACAAGCACGTATTATGCCTCTAGTGTGCACCACTGGGTTGCACAGTAGCCAGTCGTACTCTGTAGTTCTGTTACCTTTGCAACAGTGTCCCTACTTATTTAATGTAAAACTCCTTTACAGAAAAGACTTTAATCATTTTGTAATGATTAAAGAATACAAAAGGAACTGGTCAACCTCACTGTTTCTGCTACGACTGTTAGGGGCACAGGAGACTAAAGCCAGTCTAACAAAGCTTTGACATCAGTCTATGCAACACATCACAGACACAAGATAATCTCCTGGTGGTTTTCTCCTGGGTATATCTCACTGTAATCTAAAGTAAATTATGTAACTTTGTAAGTGCTTGAGTGGTGTATGAAAAATAAGTTACAATGATTTCCATGAAATTAAATTATGAAACACACTATTCAAGTCAAACAGGCTAACTTTTCTGTCTGTCACACAGGGATTCTTTAAGCGAACAGTCCAGAATAACAAAAGGTACACGTGTATAGAGAACCAGAATTGCCAGATTGACAAAACACAGAGAAAACGATGCCCTTACTGTCGATTTCAAAAATGTCTAAGCGTTGGAATGAAATTGGAAGGTAAGAGCTACAGTCTTGCTGTATTTTCAACTATACTATAGATTAATTTTGAAAATTATAGGATTATGTATGTTATTACATGCTATTTTGTGTAATAAATGGTATGTATTTATCATGGGTTTAAAAAGATAGTAAAAGGCGAAATTGCTCAGTGAAATTGTTCCTTTATTAAAAACTCTGACTAAAGAGTAAATCACTAACAAGTAGTCAAGACCATAATCTATTTTTCCATAAATTTATGTAATTTAATATTTTATAATTTTAGAGTTTGTGAATGAATGGATCTAGATACGATAGCTTTGCATCTTTTTGAAAAGATTTAATTTAGATTAAACATGAAGTATGCAAGAAGTGTCCAGATTAGGGAAAAAAAGTCATTGCTATGGAGAGCAACCTGATTTTATTTATGTTTTATCTAGGTTTGTGTGTATATATATATTTATATGTGTACATATATGTGTGTATTCTTCTGACAATAAGGCAAAAAAAAAAAAAAAAGGAAACAGAGAAAATGAAGGTTTTTCCTCACACCAATTTGCCTTTGAGATTAAGGAACCAAATAATCTCTAAAGTTGTGTCCTATATTCTTGGGATGCTACACCTGAGATGCTATTACAAATGAAAGAGAATAAGGCATTTTGAAGTATGCTTTTTGACTTCATTTCATTTTCTCATGTACAGAGAACAATGAAAAGTGTACAATACCCTTTGAGATAACTGAAACAAAATTATCAACTCAAATTTGAGAATCATACAGAGTTCATTCTAGCTTTGGTATATAAAATATTAAAACTCAGACATCTCAGCAAATAACATTTCTGCTTGACCAAGGACAAGCTCCTAAATTCCTTAGCCTTACAAATGTACTGAAATGGCATTCACCCTAGATGCTTAACCAGGAAAAATCAGGCCAAGGAGGGAAACCATAAACCACTAAGGCAACCATAAAGGATAAGACCCAATCACCTGAGTCTGGCAAAGGAAAGCTGTTGATAAAACTGAAGATGAACAGAAAAAATCAGCCTTCTGCAGTTTGATGGATTCAATACTACTCTATTTGCCCGCAGAACTGAGCTAGCACTGACACACTGCACTACACATCCTGAATCACTCCATGGTCTTCCACATTCAAATAGTATAACAAGACATTTGAAATCCTTTTCTTATTGTTGCCATTCAGAATAAGGATAAAATACATTCACCTAGTCCTACTTAACTCCTCTCAACTGCTGACAATGATATAGGACCAAATTTTGCCTTCTGTTATTATACACAATTCACCTTAATTTCTATAGGAGTTGTGCTAAAGCATTTACTAATCCAATTTGGTTCACAGATTTTAACTGCAGAATACCTGGAGGGATATTGTTTAAAGTTAAGTGCATTTACTAGGATGGTGATTTAATGAATTTCCTGCATTTTGCTCAAAATCAACATTCAACAGCAATATTAGCAGCAACGTTTTTACTATAAATTTAAGCAAAGTGCTTGTATTTTTAAAGATACTCTAGAAAATGTACTTTAGCTTCCTTATCAACACACATACAAGTTCTTTTCCTTTGTTTAGAAAATTGGAAGAACATGTGCTTCCATAATTGTAAATACTTGTGACATTTATATGTGTATTTCCCTGATAGTGATATATATAGCCTTAAAGTCTAGTTCATAAATTACCATGGACCAGAAAAATCATTAAACGTTAAAGTCCTTATGATAATGTACAGTATTATGCGTATCTAGCATTCATAATAAATTTTTAATGTTCTACTAATCCCTAAGATAAAAAAGCTCAAGAACTTAACCTCCAGCAATCTCAGCAGTCTCAACATGTCACCAGGCTGTCAAAGGTTCCTCTTTCAATCTAATTGCCATTGGGCAAGGTGGGCTTGGCGAGAGCTCCTTGCTAGTCCATTACATATACACCATGGTGACAGACACTTCTGTGACAGAGACCACCAGTATGACTCCCAAGGCAGCTGTTGAGGTGGATTTGTTTTAATTATTTCTAATTCCAGAGATATTACAAGCCGGAACAGTGTCAATAGTTTCTGTTTCACTTCCATCTTCTGTGTGTAAAGCAGCAAGCTGACAGCTTTCTCTGCACATTCCAACGGCAGCTAAACATTTCTATAGAGCTGTTCACCCATCTAGAAATCTCTAAGTTTTATACCAACCTGAACAGAATCATCCAAAGGAAGTATTTCCTTTTTGCAAAGAAAAATGTGTTCCCCTTTGTGACTACTGAACATATCACAATTTACATTTCAGATGTTTTGCTGCGGTGGAAGGCAGTAATGGAATGATTATTATGAGACAATGTGGTCCACTGGATACGTCTCAGACAAATTCTGGACATCAGCCCTTGTTTCTTAATGACATAGTAGCTTGACATAAAACTAAATATATATTGAGATCTCCACATGATCCCATAGCAGGTGTGAAATTCCTGTAGCCAAACATTGTGTTTGTCCCTGTGTCCTAATCAATGTAAAGAGAAGTCCTTTTATGTTAGTAATTTATGCATGTGATATTTAAATTACCAGAAAAAGAGTGGCATTTATTAAGTAAAAATAAACCTTTTTCTTTAGGAATAAAAGCGCAACTCTGAATTTGGGGGAAAAAAAAAAGAAAAAAAGAAAAAAAGAAAGAAGAGTTACATTTTTTACATTTCTGCTCTGTCCTAATGTATGTTCCATTAAAGAATGTTGATTCCAAGTTTTAATTGTGAATTACTTCCTCCTCTCCCCTGACAGCTGTACGAGCTGACCGAATGCGTGGCGGTCGAAACAAGTTTGGACCAATGTACAAGAGAGACAGGGCACTGAAGCAGCAGAAGAAAGCTCTTATCCGAGCAAATGGACTTAAACTGGAAGCCATGACTCAGGTGATTCAAGCAATGCCGACTGACCTGACAATATCCTCTGCAATCCAGAACATCCATTCTGCCTCCAAGGGCCTACCTCTGAACCATACTGCCTTGCCTCCTACAGACTATGATAGAAGTCCCTTTGTAACCTCTCCAATTAGTATGACAATGCCACCCCATGGTAGTTTGCAAGGTTACCAAACCTATGGCCATTTTCCAAGCCGTGCTATCAAGTCCGAGTACCCTGACCCTTACACTAGCTCACCAGAGTCAATAATGGGCTACTCATACATGGATAGTTATCAAACGAGCTCACCAGCAAGTATTCCACATCTGATATTGGAACTCCTGAAATGTGAGCCAGATGAGCCGCAAGTCCAAGCTAAGATCATGGCGTATCTTCAGCAAGAGCAAGCAAACAGAAGCAAACATGAGAAGCTCAACACATTTGGGCTTATGTGCAAAATGGCTGACCAAACCCTCTTCTCCATTGTTGAGTGGGCTAGGAGTAGCATCTTTTTTAGAGAACTTAAGGTAGGTAACAATCTTACACTCTATTGTAATTCAATCAAGAAAAAGATTACCATTTGTTACAATGTTGTACTTCAAGGAAAAAAGCATGGTTTTTCTTCCATCTGCCCCATCTCATTGTTAGTCTACTTAGCTTGAAGTACGCAGACTATTATGAAAAGAAACTTGTAGCTGTCTTCCACCTGAGCCTGTAATTAGCTGTAGCAGAGAGATTCAAGTTTCAGTTCAGCTCTTCTGTGCTTTACTATTTATCACAACTGTTATTAACCTCCACAGAGCCTTGCATAAATTTTATTCCTCCCCTGTCAGTACTGCTCACTGTCTGGTTTGCATTCAGAGCTGTAAGCATGCCTCTTCCATCGTTCTACATTAATTTATGTAATTATTTCATTACTTCATTTACCATGGGGGGGGGGGGAAGCCATTTCTCTCCATCTCTGTATACTCATTAGACAAATCCATATTTGAAATATTTACTTTCTCAATGAGATACTATTTTGTGCATTCTTGTGTGTCTAGTTAACCGTGAATGCTGAATACTAAGCAGGGTATACACAGAATAGAAAACAAGGAGGAAGAAGAAACCTTAAAGACTCATTTTGGTTTTCATCACCATTGATATATGGGGGATTCCTTTAGTTTAGGCTGGCTACAATGACCTTTAGGTTCTTAATCTTGTTGAAGCACCCAGAAAACACCTATGCACAAGGCTCTGGTGGCCAGAAATCCTCCCATTTACATTTCTCAGATTTTTTTCTTAAGGCAATTTTGTTGTGTGTTGTGGTCAGGTTTGAAATTTTAAGCTAGAAATTTGGGATTGGACAGTAAGAGATAAACTACCACTTTTAACCACTCTCTTGATACAGAAATTTGCTTGGGAATTAATAAAATATCTTCTGTCTCAAAATTCCCTCAAGATGAGCTCATATCACATCTGAATTTCCCTATTATATTGCTAGTTACCAAATCTGTGTCCTACACAGATGCTGTTGTCACGACTCTTTGCTGCTGAAATCTATAAAGTTTTGTGACAACCCATAATTTCTTGCTGACTATTGTCAAGCTAAGGGAAAACAATACAGTATCCAAATACAATTACTGTAGAAGTTCACTGAGAATTGAGTCTACATGAATCGTGAGCACAGAAGGGAGATCCCATTAAAAAGCTGCAGTCAGGATGCTTGCCACAACAGTATTTCTGTCATAACCATAATGATACAGACACATGAAATAACCCCTGATTACAAGAGTATGTGTTGCACACACAACTCAAATTTCTCTCCAGTTTTTCATGAGAATGACCATAGGAATGATTAAACAGTCTATACAAATACAAAGAAGGGAGAAGCTTACTCGGGGGTGGGGGAAATGGATTGGAGAGAGGAAAAGAATGTCATAACTTTGCTATCTAAGTTGTTTACAACTTTATAGCAAGCTATAAGTCATGCTACTCATTTTAAATAACTTAAAAGTTAAAATTTACAATAAGCTATGTTCTAAATATCAGGGAACAGATTTTTCTACCCATACACTGGTGAGTACTTTAGTCAAGAGTAACCATGTTAAAAATCACTGAGACTTGCAAACCAAGATACTCTTAAGTGTAAGAATTTTGAAATTATCTGCCTTCAAATGCTGTCTCTGATTAAAGTGAATATATTAACAGATATTCAAGCAACATTTACTATTTATGGTTCCATGGCAGATTTTATAAGCATTCAGCATCCTATACTGGGAATAGTTTCAGAGATGGTCTTCACCTCCAACCTCAGCCTGGATTATGTTCTTCAACCAACATATGTTTACTAGTATGGACACAAAAAACTGCAGAAATTTACTTAAGGAAAATGCTGACCAATTTCTCCTGGCTCTGGATATATATATACACTACCATGTACATAGAGACTTCTGGAAATATATATATTCTAGAAATCCACTACATATAGCCTTTGGCTAGCAAACTCATTTTCACATATTTTTGGAAGGCATTGTTTTCATCTCATAGTATTTGTACCCTTTACATCTTAGAAACTTAAGAGTTCATACAGTTTCATACGTTCTGGCATACCCAGATTATTATTATTTCTGCTTAATTGGACAAGATCAGCTAAACTGCATGGTATTCCAGAACAGTATAAAGACACTTGGAAATCCATCTGTGTCTAATATTTAGGGACCAGATTACACAGTTAAGAACTTTAAGCTTCTCAAATTCAAAAAGTGAGGTGCTCAAAGCATGAAAAAAGTGAGGTGCTCAAAACATGAAAAATGCAAGGTGCTCAAAACATGTTTAGCTCAGACTCTACACTTTTAACAGCACTAGGTAACACCATCTCTTTGCAGCTGAGAGGATCACAATTAAATAAAGGGTTTCCAAACCTTTCCTGAACACAGCTCTCTTCTATTCATCCATGGTTTCAGCTCCTTCCAATCAAGGTAGCAAAAGCAGCTATTTCAGATTGCTCCACAGAACATGAATACCTGTGGCAGAGGGAAAAAAACCCAAACACCTAAGGATATGACAGATTTTAAATGCAGAAGAAAAGGAAGAAGTAATTATGATAAAGATGCAACTAGATTTTCAGAACAGCTAAATTTGTTCCCTGCTGATACACACCTGAGAAGCCTGTATTTGCTTGAGAAGGTATTTTTCCTATTATTCCTACTTGTTTAAACTTAACAACTGATTCTTGACACATCTTTCAGATAAGACAGGTGCATTAGCAGATCTCTGGGACTAAAATTTTAAATTACTTAAATAATTAAACACTAAAGAATTACAAATGTGTTTTGTATGAAATTCATATTGATTTTGTCATGAAAAGTGATGCCTTGCACATTCGTCTGTGATTTACTAAACATCATCTTTGCAATGCTTTACTGTACCTTTTTACTTCATTTTAAATCCAGTCTTACACGTCTCTTTAATTCATATAAAAGAGCAAAAATTTTCCTTTCTGCTACACCTAGAGATTTCTAATTAGCAGAGTTCAGGAGGGACTGAAAAGCAGGAGGGCATGACAGCCAGTCCATCAGTGGTTTAGGACACATGTACCTTACAGCTAATAAAAAAAACCCACTAGTTTTTACATTTTCTCTTTTTCTTTTCATTTAGCTGAAAACCTGATTATTTTCAAAGAGGTGTCAAGTAATAGCAAACATGGTTAGAAACTTTATTTCATGAAGCTTTTATCAGCTTATGCTTATCACAGTCTTTTCACTTGTTGCTCTAAAATTGTCAGTGCCTCTTTTGGAATGTGTTATATGTGTAAGTATGTAAAAGGTAAAAATATTGACTGAGCATAACTGCCAACAGCATGAACTGCATTTTACAGAATTTGACCTGCGTATGAATTTAAGCATGTAATTTAAGTCTAATGCTCATCCTTGCTGAGGAGCAGATCCTCCCATCTTCCTATTGGATATCAGAAATTAATGAAAATATGAATGTAGAAACCTAGTCAGGATTAATATAACATCAGAGTAAGATCCAAAGCAGTCAATTGCAGCCCACTGAATTTGAATAACTTTGAATTTGACAGCTGCTAAAAATCTCAAACATACCTATTTGTCTTGAGAAGTCAGAATACTTTGTAATTAGTAATTGTCATAAATTCACGTATTACTTACTTATTCATACGCGAAATGTTTCTGTATAATTCTTTATACACAGATAAAGTAAGAATACAGAGATAATCTCCCAATAGACTCAAGATGACACTAACAGTAATAGTAAAGAAGGCCTTTGTTTGCTATTCTGGAGTTGCTGAAAGCTCAGTAAATATAAAAGTAAGATATATCCATCTTATCCTCAGCTAAGAAAACTCAGGAATGCCCTGGGGATGCTAGATTTGTAGTGAGCTGTCTTAGTCAGGTGAAAGGTCTTTGTACAAAGCTAAAAAGAAAATATTGCAGGAGTTTCTAGAGTTCAAAGGTTACCTGGCCCCAAGCAAGGATGCAGACAGTTTCACTGGACTAGTGTTTCCTTATGAGCCCGATCAGGGAAAATTCAATAACTACTTCCAAAGCTAAGTGCTCCTGAACCCAAAAAAGAAAGCAGTCTGCTTGGAGCAGGAAGAAAACAGAATCTGCACTGTAGAAAAGTTCTCAGAATACTGTTCTGGCTGAGGATCAGAGAATTAACTAAATGTTGATAGTTACAGAAAAGGCACTAAAGGACTTGTGACTCACAGAAAGTACTACCTTGACTTACTTGGCTATTTTAGTGAGGATGTCATAGGTCAAAGTACTATGTGAGCACAAACCCATTCAGTGAATTATTGCAGGAAAAGCCTGTGTATTTCATGTTAAAGAAGCTCATCCTAAAACTATTCACTGTGTTTGCAAATTTAGGCCATTCATTGATGTCAGACAGTACCAGTTCTGGGGCAGAGTTTTTATTATAAGCATAAATTTGTCCATGCTTTCATTAGCTGCAAATGCAGTCTTCAAAGAAGCAATGGCTCTACCAGGCATCTCAAAAGGACCCTATATATAGAATATCTACTGTACTTGGTAATACAGATATTTTGGCAGCTAATAAGCCAATAGAGGCTTAGTTTTGTAGTACATATTCCCGATAATGACAACTATAATAGCAGAGTTTCAAATTATTTCTCAAAGCAGTGCAAACTTAGTATCAGTAGGATTAACAGAATTCCTGAAATCTCTTAATTTTTTTCTGTAAAATGTATTTAGATAGATACAGTAATATAATACTCAATAAGGCTTTAATTTCAAATTACAGTCTGTATGTAACTAAGTATCAAGAAATGCATATAAAGAATTACAGTACAGAAATCCAATTATTAAACTGACAACACAGACTAGGAAAACTTGGGGGTTCTTTGAGGAAAAAAAAAGCAGTGGTGGAACACCTCAAAAGTTCTTCAGGGTGACAAAATGTTGATATTATTTAGACTTAAGTCATCAAAGACAATTTGATAACTTGAAGTGCTTTTGGACTTTGTAGTATGGGTTTATCAGGACAAGAAATGTAACTA